GCATAACAATTGATATCCTAGGCATTAGTGAGCTGAAATGGACTAGCAGTGTGCATTTTTAATCAAACAATCATATGGCTTAATATGGTAGAAAAAACAAATTGAAGAGGAATGGCGTTACATTCATTGTCAAAAACACAATTTCAAGATTCATCTCCAAATACAATCCTGTCTATGTGAGGATGCTATCTACATGCCTAAAAGGAAGACCAGTTAGTTAAAACCACTGTTATTCACATTTACACATCAACCACTAAAGCCAGTGATGATCAAACTAAAGAATTCCACCAACTTCTTCAGTCTGAAATTGTTCAAACAATCAAGATGCATTGATAATTACTGGTGATTGGAATGTGAAAGTTGGGAACAAAGAGGAAGCATCCATTAGTAGGAAAATATAACCTTGGTGATAGAAACAATGCTGGGGTTCTCATGATAGAATTTCACAAGCAAAATGACTTTGCTTCTATAGACAGAAACACAATTCACAAGCACAGTCTGGATACCAGGGCTGCTTGCTGTTATTGGTTGTTGATTGTCTCAATGCCTTAATCAACTATTTGGTTAGCCTGAAGTACGGATAGTATAGGAGGGTGCTGAGAAATACTCAGCTCCTTCCCATTATTTACAAGTTTTTTAATTAATATTTCTCCTCCAGTATTCTTCAGAGGTGCTCAATATTTTCTTTTCTCTTTAAGTACATTGTGAACCAATGGATTTAAATGTATTTGGTATGATTCCATTCATTCCCATTATCATTACTGATCCTTAAAATATCCTATTTTTTGCCATTGGAGGGATTTATTTGGGTTGGCCTCTTCATTCTCACATGGCTCTAGTATATGGTATGTTCTCTTGCTTTCTCATATGACAAGTTATTTCAGGGTCATCTTGCACATTTTCTAAGCCAGTCATGGAACCAGTCGTTTCTCAAAAAAGCCCTACTTATTTTTGTTAGAAATGCCAGTCAGAAGCACAGCCTAGACACTAGAAATGCTCGTTGATATTGGTTGGTGACTGTCTATATAGGCCTTTACAGTGGGCAGAACTGGAAACAAATTCTTTAGGATAAAATTCATCATAAATTTCATAATGAGATTTTCAATTTAACTCATGTTTACAGTTTTTTTTGTTGTTTTGTTTTGTTTTTACTTAACCTTATTGATCTTATATCTTTCTCTCTTCAAATGCACTAAAAATCTCTTATTTCTCAATGACATCAACATATACATATATAAGTTGTT